AACCGTGGATTTTGCTACGTGTGAACGCGCTAAAACAGACGCGGAGCGGGTTTTGCTTCCTAAAATGGCGGACGTGGCGCTCCATTGCGTACTACACGTCATTGCACGTGATTTCGCATGAGTGGTTTATCTTGTTCACTCTACGATCTTTGGTACTAATATATCCCACCTGTGCGATACGCTAGTTAAGCCTTTAGTGTATCTATCTAAAAAGAGTTGCGGTTTATTGTCTGTGCCCTGTTTTGTACTCGCAGCTCAAAAATTTGTAAGGGATATATCAAAATAACTTATGCTACAATTATGCTACTGATATGAAAAATTGGTTTTCATCATACGTTGAGGTTAACAATTTCTTGGTAACCTGTATTTCTTGCATACGTGTAGTTATTGTGATTACAACCTGCGTGGTCAGTAAGCCATTTGAGAATGAATTTTAATGTATCATGTTGTAATAATTGGCACTAAGCCACTCTCCCAGAGCTTACTACATAGTGTGTTCATGTTGCTGAGCGAATAAAATCCCATGTTTTGTCGTGTTGTGCTAATTATTTAGGTTTACATATTATTATCTACAACCCCTGTTGAATTTTCAAACATGAATTATTCATTACTTAAAAATAGATTGAGACTAAGGAATTCTTTCAAACCATGTGTTCATAGGCGAACAGTAGTTAGTACTTATTAGGTGAGTCTGGAAGAACCACCTGAAAACATTTCATTGTGAAAACGTCTCGTGATAGATAAGCAATAAACTGTGTTGATTTACGCAAGGAGCTAGATATATACATTTGGATTTACGTACTGTCTCTGTTATGTTATTTGGGAATCGTGGCTTTACAATGTTTTAGTTATAATTTGGTCACCAGTCACCATAAATTGGTCACCAGTCAACCATAAATTGGTCAGGTGTCACCATAACATTAAACAATATCCACTTATTCCCACATTCCTTCCTAACCTGTATGATACAGGCGGTTCCGGTTCCGCTTCACTACACTAACGCAGATGGGGTCGTTGTCGTATCAGGTACTACAGATATGTACCCGAGGTAGTTTTAGGTTGTTTAGTATTATGTTTATATTTTTATATGAGGTACCTTCTGTAGTACAAGTCTGGTACACTTTGTGTATACATATATGTACCTCGGGTACATATCTGTAGTACCTGATACGACGACGACCCCTTGAGCTACACTAACCTTCAACAACCTTGAACTACCTAACGGTTAGTGTAGTGAAGCGGAACATACCGCCTGTATCATACAGGTTAATTCCTTCCCCTTCCTCTGATTCTGTACGGGGTTCACCTCCTGGAGACTACTGAGACGCTGAGACGCTATGAACATTCTATCCACGTGAGGTGAAGTTTACGGATCTACACGCGGATGGCACCGATGCGAGAATGGGAGGCTTTAGAATATTCGGTGTTACCATTGCTTGGTGGGAGATAGTGACTATACTGCTACGACAACGATGATGATGATGAAGTGGGATGATGACGATTAGATTATGCTAATGCCAGCCTCTCTCATTGTGGGTGCTCGCAGCGTGCCTTTTTTTCTATTGGATTGGGTAGAGGAAGTAAGGAAAATACTTTAATAATTGATTGCGGGTATACTACTATTCCTATTATATATATGAACAAGTTTTTCCATATGTTCTTGCCATTATATTACAACTATAACGTATTAATGTTGCCACCGCGAGGCGGCTACTAATAATATACCAAATGCAAATTTGTATTCGTAACATAAAACACAAGAAATAGTTAAGAATTGACAAGAACCAGGGCAGGATTTACACATTTCTGCACTTTATTATTTTACTTTATAATGAATAAACAGATTACTTTCACAACTACTCGTGTGCAACAGCCAATGGAGGGGATACGTCCAGCCTTCTCTATCCGAAAGTCCAAATTAAACAGTGTACAAAACTACAAGTAATGTGTATATCTATCTGTTTGGTTCTTGATGAGTGTAGGAGCGTGAGTGTGCTTGTGCGTGTGTGTGTGGGCGCGCCTGCACGCACGTACGACGTATGCGGGCGCATATACACACACATATAGCACATTGCAGAAAGCGAATACGTTTTTGGTATAAAAACGGTCAGCGAATTGGTGGTAATCCACCGTACTATTCCTACGTTACATGCACACATTGATGTTATGAGCAATACCATGTATTACTATAATAGCCGTACGTGCACATATATGCACGTGTCTGCGTGCGTGCGTGCGTGCGTTCGTGCGCGCGCGTCTATGCTTTCACACTTCTATATGTCAATGAAAGCAAACATGTTCAAATTATGTATAATATAATAGCTTGCATTGTGGCATTGGAAGGATGATTTTGGAATGGTTTATAGCCAAACCGAGGGAAGTGAAAGCTAACTACGTGTAAAAAAGTTTCATACTCTTTATAAATAGAGCTTTTATATGGCAACCTGAAATCAGGACTCTTAAATATAAATAGGGAATAGCATTTTCATTATATGCAACCTTATATATATATACTAGTAGTACTTCATCATGACCGTTCGTGTTAAATTTTTACTCACAAATCACAATTTTTACTCGCAAAAAGTGCGCGCCGATTATCTATATTAATCCTTCAGTCTTTGGCTATATAAAAATAATCATCGTTATAATGGAAAACATTTTGTACCACGAGCAGAGGTGATCTAATACCTCATCATATATCAACTCTCTGCCAGCCTGATTAGTTGTGTGAAATATTTGTATGCAATAGGCATTTTATTGGTCATGTCTGCGATCTACGAAATTGTGACCTCAACTGGGATACAGGGCATATACGATATATAGTTCCAACAACGTCATTATCTCATCTAAGAGACTGTTGCTACAAAGAAACAAAGGCGGGAACGTATGCCGCCATATTGTTGTGGTGGTTGTAAGCAGCTCATATTGTGTGGTAGATCGTTCATATATAGTCATAATTTAATCTATGGGGTAATTTTAAGATGCCGAGAACTACCGACATCAAACGGTTCATTACATGAATCAAAATAATTGTACCTCTTTGAACTACTATAGGCAGTTCCTCTACATCACCTATAGTAAATATATATATATATATATCGTAAGTAAAAATTACATAACACACTTTGTTCCCTAATCGACGTCAGTTAACAGTACAATCTATTGCAAATAGTAAACACCAGAATACCAGAAGAAATCCGCACGCGTGCTAATACTGATGTGATGATGTGTTTGTATGTATTTTCCAATAACTTTTTGAACGCATTTTCACAAATATGACGAATGTGAATTCAAAATAAGCGAAGTGCAAAAATCATAAACATCATAATAAGTATCATATCCAATACTATGCTTTCCAGGATTTATCCGTTTTACACCAAGAATAACTAGAGCGAAACTGAGACTAAAATGAACCTTTACACCTATGTAAACCAGCTATATATATATATATATATATATATATATATATATATATATATATAACTATTTTCGCCTGCAAGCACCACAACAGGGTATTCGGTTTACAGGGGTTTTTTCAAGTTGAAATTTAAATTTAATACGCAATCATATACTACATTATCGCACCATGCAGGTGTGAGAGTTTATGATCAATCCCCTATTTCCTCCGTGTACACTTTTGTATAAATCGTTGTGCATGACGCTGTGCTGCCTGAGAATGTATTGTATCGGACAGGTCGATGTTTAGAAATGGAGTCCTGTATAGATGTGCGATGCCTTTAGAATGTGTGTGAAACGTTCAGAATTCTATCTCATCTCGTACATGGTTACGTCTCTGTTGATTTATAAAATTTGCCCAGGACAAGAAGAACGCACTCAGCTGTAAGTACGGAATGAACAGCCAGCTTCCTTAAACATATTAATAAAGGTGCTTCGGCACACGCACGAATTTCACACATATTATGCATCATATGAAAAATTAACAAACGACATACTAACGAGTGGCTTTACACCTGATCCCCCTGCTTCCATAAATACTGCAGAGGAATTTCGACGTGGTTCTCCCAATAATCGTACTCGTTCAACTACCTTCTCTTCCTCCTCCCTCCTTTCTCCTATTCTTCTTCTTCTTCTCCTCCTTTCTCCCTCTGATTCATCCCGCCCCCTACTCACTGTCTTTTCCTTCCCACGTTCCTCCCCTTCATTCCACAATTTTTTCCTTCACGTCCTTCATTCCTTCCCCTACCTCCCCCTCCTTCCTTCGACTGGGACCTGCAAACTAGAACTCCCATAGCGTGTCATTCTTGATCTCTGTTCCGTTTGCCTTGAATAGGCCGCTCTGTTCTCCCCGCAGGTAGTAACCACTCTTGGAGCGGATCGACATGAGCGTGTGATCCTGCAGCTCTAGGTAGAATTCCGACGCTGGCGCCCCCTCAGTGGTGATAAAGTAATCATCCTCGATGTGCCAGTAATGATTGTTCCGGTCTGAAACACCACAGAGTGCAGACATTGGCAATCACCTAAATCAGGCCTAAATATAACTGTTAGACAATTAGAGACCATGAATGCAAGATAAGGGACAGGAAAGTTAGAATAGGAGGTATGGATGAGACCAAGACTCAAGATACATGCCTCAGTAGAAACTGGCAAGGCATGCTAGGAGCGGTAAGGCATGCTATAGGAACAGTAAGGTATGCTATAGAAGCGATAAGGCATGCTTAAGGAGCCGTAATTCCCCCCTGACCAACCTTTAAGGAAGTAGGAGCCGTCCTCGTTCTGCTCGACCTTGATAATGTCATGACTCGACTTGTTGCACTCCAGCTTCCGCGAGGCGGTGCTCTTGAAGCCCACGAACCCGTGGCTGCCTCTCAGCACCATGATTGGTCGGTTGATGAGCTGGAAGCGGAAGTGCTCCTTGGCGGTCGGTTCGTCGATGGTGGCCGACAGCTGGCCGTTCATCTTGGCCGTCACGTACCTACCGTTGGGCGCCTTAACGGCGACGCTGCCGTTCTGCTGCCAGTCGAGGTCAAAGTGACAGCTGGGGCTGATCGTACTGCAATACATCACAGCCAGACACGGGTGCTGTAGAGATCGGTGGAGGCGCTGGTGCTCAATATATAACAGGGAGGAAATTAAGACGCGTGTTGTAGAGGCCTCGGCGAAAGTCTGTTATGATTTCGTGTCTGTTTTACTTGATATCTTTTATGGACGGTGGGGTATGGCATATGGATGGAGGGTTTCAGGATTCAGACTTTCAAACTTCCGTTACGACAACGCCCCTGAGTCAATCTCTGCCACTGTGTAACCATCTGTGTGATGGTTAATATAGTCACATGACTTTTAACTGACCTTGATTTTGCTTGTATTCCGCCACCGGATTCCAAGCTCCAGTACTTGTCCTGCTTGGTTCTTATCAGCCATTTCTTAGAAGTCTTCACTCGCTCGATTTGGAATATTTCTGTGTCAGTCAGTTCCTCTTGATTGGCCGATAAATCAACACCTAGAAGTAGAAATTCAACGAGAACATGGTGAGAGATTTTATTATACACACACAACTTGATGCGAATCTTTTCAATTATTCATTGGCAGCAACAACGAATCATGGCGCGTTTAGAACGCATCTACGTCAGCGCCCTAGAATGACTCGTAGTATGACATGGGATTCGACAGAAAAAGGCGTTTACATACGTGCGGCGTGTAGCAATTACTCACGAAGTTCACAGTCCCGCTGAAAACATCAAACACGCCGGTTTGTTACGATTATTTTATTATTAGTATTGTCATTTTATAAACACAGTTTGATCGTTGCCGACTTTTGCCTTCGCGACAGCTCGTAGGAATGCCATGGTTGTGAGTAGGGGACGTGGACTGAAAAATACAGGTTCTTCGATCTGTCACGATATTACAGTTATTTTTTCTTTCTCTCGAGTCTCCTCGCGGAGCATAGGGAATTAGCTCCCGCACTTCTTTTGTTTCTGTGCAACAGAAGGAGTGAGGTTGTTGGCCTCAATCCAACATTCTGACGGTGCTTCACTCGTACGCGATCTTTAATGATCGGCCCCTGTATACGGAGCAAATATTGATAGATGTCAGGCCTCGTTTATTTTCACTCCTCTCGTAATTTGAAAACCATGGCTTCATTGCCTGCAAGTCTTAAGGTTATATGACAGCAGTCGTGTCGTATTCAGTCGGATGAGATGGCAATAACTGCAAGACTGTCAAAAAGGGAGGTCTCTGGCGTTCCTTGCTCCATGCGCTCTCTCCTTATCTCCCTTCTCTCTCACTGTCTTTTCCTTTTTTAATATTCATGTAACACCTCACATAGTGGGTGACATTAATGAATCGATGTGAAAAGGGTGTCAATCTTTTGACGCACTAAATTAATACCTGTCTCTAGTATATGAAATATTGCCTCTAAAGAGTGGAACGTCGCTTATTCTGCTTACAATCTTTCCGGCGCAATAATTTCTGTCCATATATTTGCACTACACGTGTGATTGCGTGGGTAGAAAAGTACTCCCGTATTTTTGGGATACATATGAAAAATTGGTATTTTGTAAAGTGACGCGCCGAAGGCAACTATTTGAGATTTCTCCCAGCCGATTCTTAAGAATTGCTTCAAACGGCACTTCAAACAGCAAGACTGATATCTGTATCTACGTGCCTGAAGTGGTTGATTCATGCTCCCTGCAGGTGGCAGTTGTTATGCACTACGTGTTTTGGACCAGTTGTGAGACGTTGTTGATGAATATCTACAGGAATGACCTTCGCTGTCACCTTTCCAACCCATGGCCATATGATGCTATTCTCTTGTCATGCTTATGTCCGCTTATCGACACAAATTATCAGTCAGGTATTAAAGTGACTACGTCACGAATTTTCTATGGTAAAATTTGTAAAAAAAAAATTGCCATTTTTTTACATTAAAAGTAAGAACTAACGTTACTAAATATATCCTCAAAATCTCACCTGATAAAAATGTTTTTACGTTGGTTAAATTTGCAAAAATCTAGACGATTTGGTAATTTCTGTTGTCTAACACTATTCCCCCAGTACTGTTCAGATACTGGCGTCTCTCTGTTTTTCACCGGCAAATTAGGGCATATAAAGAAGGTATATAAGCATGAAAAGTAAACAGAAACACTAATTGTATTTTCATACATTTTATTTTGTACAAATAACACACAAATGTACTACTTGATGGTGCTAGAAATTCGTGACGTAATCACTTTAAGTGGGTATAAATGTTTCATCTTCCTTTACGACACTCACTCTATTTACGACCTAGCGCTGTGTCAAAAACGAAATTCTAAATTGTAACCCATCACTGACGCTCATAGGGTCTATGTCCCCCAGGGTACTATCGGAGGGTACCCTGGGTACGGTTCGATATATCGGAACGTACCCTGTTAACTATCTGATATGGTTAGGGTTAGGGTTAGGGTTAGGATTATGATTAGGGTTAGGGAGTAGGCGTAGGCGACTCCCTAGACTCGTTAGTGGAGTAGGCGAGGTACGGTCCGGCATATTAGATAGTACCAGGGTACGTTCCGATATATCGAACCGTACCCAGGGTACCCTCCGATAGTACCCTGGTGGACATAGACCCTCTCAGCATCACTGACTAATCACTAACGTAGCCATTACGCCTCAACAGAGGGCGGTATCTGAGACCGTTCCATCCACATCCACCAAGCTTAATCGACATTGTAAAAAAACGACTAGATGAAGTGTAATATTACATGTTAAAGAAGGATTTGTGAAAATTTCAGTACCACTAACTTATAAAAGATTGTTCTTATCTGAGCAATAGTGATTCTCGTTGTCAGTAAAACCGTCATGCGACACGGTAGCGCCATCTCGTGCGATCTATAACGACGCGTAACCTTTCAAATGTTACTCACGTTTACGCGATGTGTTTTAGCATTTGGCCATTACCCACACCCCCACCACCGGCGCTTACTCCCACCCCCATCCCACGCTCGCATCTAGGAATTATCGATCCCTAGCCTCTAACCACTGAGCTTCATGGTTGTTACGGTTATGCTGTCTGTCGCCATCACAAGCGCGCTTCAAAGATGTACGTGGCATCTGTTGGTAGCCTGGCAATCTGCCAAGGAATTGTTCTTTGTTGTCGCTGCGAGTGTGATGTATTTATGAGCTTTCATGCTTACTGTGACGATTGTCCTTTGATACGGCATGAGTCACGGCGCTCTCATCTCGCCCTGTAATGTTTTGGAGTGATCGTGCAGCGGATGCAATGCACCGTACTATAGGACTCGGACTCGCACTCGCGTATTCGTCTGTCTCATGCGGACTTCACTCTCCCATAGATATATCAGGAGTCTATCACTAGATAGTACTATTGATAGACTCCTGATATATTGATGCCTACGCACACTCTGTACACAATTCAACACAACGCCAGTTACGCGTGAACACACATATATACACGGACATTGGCTCAGCACACAGCGATCGTACGTTGTGACGACGTGTAGCGAATCCGTGTTTTATATTTCGCTGGGTGTTGTTGTACATCATCACCATCATCGTCGTCATCATCATCATCTTCTTCTTCTTCTTCATCATCTTCTTCATCATCATCATCATCATCATCATCATTATCATCATAACCATAATCATCATCATCATTATCATCATCATCGTTATCGTCGTCGTCGTCATTAGTATCACTGGCCACAGAACAGCCCAACAGGACAGTATTGTCGCTGACTGCCTTGCAGGAGATATAAACCAGATAAGAGCATAGCGAGCGTGCGTCACGTACAAAAGGCTCCCTCCATGATCATGATGGATAGACGACAGGACCCGGCTCTATATAATCTGTGCACGAAAAAGATGCAGAGAGAGGGGAAGACATGTAAGAAAGGAGGGAAGCGGAGAGCAAGAAAGGGCGAAGAAGAGAAAGAAAGAAGAGAGGATGTGGAACTATAGGAGGCAGACAGTGAAGGCGGGGAGAGACGAGTTTAAGGCAGAGAGAAAGAGGAAGAAAAGCTGGCGAGATAAGAGGGGCGATCGGCAGAGAGCAGAAGAAGGGGGAGACAGAGGAGCGAGCAAGAGGCGGAAGAATAAAAGGAGAGAAGCTGAGAATAAACGAAGGGGAGAGGCGAATGCGAGGTGAGGAGGACAGCACGAGGAGGGTGGCATGCAAGAGGTCTCTTCATAGCAGCTGTATAAATTTTACTTCACATTTTTCTGGTGTAATAAACTGCCGCTATATATATGATATGGAGTTACGTACTTAACCATAGCGACAGACAGATGTAATCTCGGCATAAGAACCACATGACCATTAGGGTTATATCCCCTTGGATAATTTTAACGTGATGAGACTGTGACAGATATAAACATTAAACACAAGCATTCTGTGTTATAACGAAAGTGCAGCGTTTGTGTAACGCGCTGGCAATAGCCAAACGCCCCTTACGGGCCTCCTGCCAGGCAAGCAGCGTACGAAATCTGTCGCGCAAACACAGGCAGCCAGCTGTTTCGTCTGCTTTTTACCAACTTTCTTCTTCGATCAGACAGGATGCGTGCGCAGGTTTTTCGAAAAAAAATTGGCGTCCCGGAGAGGTGAGATGCAGTGTGTGATGGGGTGAGGGAAATTTCCGCTTGCATACAGCGCCACAATTATAGCAATTATGCGCGGAAAACACAGGTTTTCCGTTAATATTTAATATATATACGGTTCAACAGCATTGCTCCAATTTCGGTTACAAGTTTCTCATGGAAAGTGTATGTGTGTGTGGGTGCGTGTGTGTGTGCCTTGCCTGTGTGTTTCGTGTGAAAACTCGGTGGAGGCAATTTTGAGTAGTCGATTATCTACTTTACATCAATTTGCACCGAATCTTGCTTTACTGAACTGTGACATTCGCCACAGGTGCGTGGAACAAAGCTGCCGTTTCATCGACGCAGTTAATGGCCTCTACAATCGTAGGAAACACGCGAAACACGATCTATGAATGCTTTCACAGTTTGTCAGACAAGTTTATGTGTCCGATAGATAGCTCGTAAGACGGCGCAGGCTACCGGTGTGGTTTGCTTGGCGGGTTAGGGATGGTTGAAATAAATATTGATATACCTATTGATCTATTGATCTATTGATCTATTGATATAAGTATAGATACACATAAGTATTGATATCGCTATCGGCCCTTCCGTTTTCCTGCGCGTTTTTTGAAACTCGCGTGTTTTTTTCGTTCGCGTTTAAAATGTGTTCAAAATTTAACAAGAATCATGGGCTTTACGCTTACTACGAATGTTCGTAGAAAACGACGTAAACGTGGTTCGTTAGAACAGGCGTTTACACGCGGCACTGGTGAGCGTAGGAAGTGCGCTCTACGCGCGGGTTTATTGACTCTACATTCCGGTCTCAGACACACTCAATCAATTATACCGCAATTACAACGTTAATTACGTGTACGCAATAAAAGTCACACCTAGACTGGCCCAACGTCCTTTGCTTCGCCTTGTCCG